AACCTCATGCAAAGGCTATACAACCCCCACATGCTTAAACCCCTCTCCTATGAACACCATAGGTTAGAATGAACCAAAGTAGGAAAATCCTACCTCTTGAAGCGTAAATGAATACTAGAACCTCCAAAAACACCCCCAAAAGCTCAAGACTTTGATTTCTCTAAAATCTCACTTATTGATCTTTGGTGAAAATCTTCGTTCTTGGTATCCACGGGTAGCCCTCGTCTCGTAGAACAACTTTAATTATTGGCTCGAGCGATTCCAACCGACGGATCTTCGGGAAATCGAATGAGAAGGCTTAAGATTTTTGGTTTTTTCCTCTTTACTCTCTTTTATCTCTTAATCTCTAATATAGCCGGCCATAGGGGAGGAAAAAAGCTGATATTTCAGATATTTTACCCCTATTTATAGTTTTAAAGACTTGGCCCTCATCGCGCCAAGTGTCTCCTTTTGTTCGGGTCTATTTTTTGCCCCAAAACGATTAAATTTCATACCGGTTTAAGCTCTAATATTTTATATGAATTTTATTTAAAATATTTTTCAAATTTTAAAATTTTTATAAAAATTTTATTTTTGGGGGTCACCGGGCACCCGTCACCTCGAAAAACGTGAAAAACTCAACTATCTTGGAATTCGATAAATTTTGTCTGGATAACTAGATTTCATGAAACGAATCCAACGGTAAGATCTGTTTCATCATCCGAGGTCTAGAAAAATACCAGTTTTTAACTTGCACTATAATGACAAATTACCATTTTGCCTTTTTTTTTTTTTTATAAAAAATTTAAATTTTCCCGAGTTTCACAGTGAACAGGCACTATCAAGACACCAAGCTCACCATCCATATGGTACGATGAAAATAGGTAGCGATCAAATTTTAGGGTTTGGTCCATTTTTGACACTATAAATACCCTGGGGTAGTATTTTAGTGTTGCTAATCATAGTTTTCAACATCAAGAAACCTAGAGAAGTTTGAGGAGAAGAAAAAGAGGAAGAACATGACAAAATGCAAGGTATTAACATACGATGATTGCATCAGAACGCGTAGAATCACAAGATATATAGAGTAAAGGTAGGATTTTTTCTCAAGTTCACTAATTGAGGGTTGAGGGATATCCCTTGCATGCTTTCTTGAAATTATTCCATTTTAATAATTGTGTAACCGTGATTCATGATTTATGTGGATACGACGGAAATTATCTCTTGTATTTGTGGGTGTGACGAACATAGGTTACCTTTGACCGAATATTGTAGAGTGCATAGATGCATTTCTTACCTTGAGGGTTTGAATGTTCCATATCACTTGCAACCGAATTCTTGGTTCCTTGCAAGGTTCAATAATTCTCACTATTCGCTCATGAGGATCGAGGCTAGGGGCTAGAATACTATTCTTGAGAAGGATTAGTCACTGTCGATGTGTCGGTATATGCCCTTCATAAAGTGGTGTATCCTTGCAAGGATTGATTGGATGCTAGTCTACCTACATACATGAGATATACTTTTGGTTATTAATTATTGTTTTGAGAATTGTTCCTTCTTCTTTATGAACTTTGTTGCTGGTACTGTCAACTTCAGGTCTCATTAATTGTTCTGGTTTTACTTCAAATTATGATATGTTACTTTATCAAATGAGACAAACCTATTTTAATTATTTTTGAAACCTTGTTTGGGTTTGAGAAGGTTTCCTACAAGACTTATTGCTCATCCTACATTACAAATCTATTTTCCAAATCTCAGTATTGAGGAAGACCCTGTACTAGGTGAGCAAGTATGTTGGGATACAGATGTGGATCAAGTTGTGCATCCAAACTTGGAAACTTAGAGATGTTCTCTTTATTTTATCATTTCTTCACTCTGATGGATTACAATACTATTTTGGAATATTTCTTTTGTTAGTTAGTAGGAAGTTTATTATTTCAATTTTGGATATAAACCTCAATAGCTTTGAGTTCATTTGGAATTTTGCTTAGTTAGATGTTGTGAATGATTGACATTGATTTATTTAATGATTATTTTAGATAGTCTCATGGTTAGATGATGTATAGATAGTTAATGCCTTTAAATGTAGATTTTGGGGTGTTACGGTGTTTCACAATCTGAATATGCACAAATAATTAGTATTCTAATGCATTTGATGAATTATTCACGTCATGTCATTGCTTTTGTTGTTAGTAGATTTAGCATATAAACACATAGTCCAAACCCAGATCATTGGACTACTTTGATGAGATTGTTGAGATACTTGAGAGGTACCATGGACTATGGTATATAGTGGATTTTTCATTGCACTAGAATGGTATAGCAATGCTAATTGGATCAGTGATTAAGAAGAGACAAAATTCACTAGTGGTTACATGTTCACCCCTGGTGGGGGCGTAGTATCATGGAAGTGTGCCAAATAGACTATTGTAGCTCAGTCCAATATGGAATCCGAGTTTGTTGCCTTGGAGATGGCATGCAGTGAGGCTGAGTGGCTTAGAAAACTCTTAGAGATGAGACCAATTATACAATGGAAAGACTTGGCATATACACCGAAGACACAACGTTGTAAGACAATTACTTAATGATGGGATAATATCCCTTGTATATGTGAGGTCAGAGATGAACTTGGCAAATCCTTTGACCAAGCCACTTGTTAAGAAACTATTGCATGATACATCTAGGGGAATGAAACTTATACCTATTGCCATGGGTCAAGAGTACTGGTAACCCAACCTATGTGATTGGAGACCCCATGAAGTAGGTTCATAAGGGTAATAAGAAGTTATTGGTTGACCTAGTGAACGATGTAACCCTTTTGCCTATGTCCTTTTTCCTATGGTGTCCACGGTGCTAAATGGCAATGATTGAGGGTTGAGCTATGCCCTTAATGAATTCCATATCCCTTATAGGTGGTGTGTTTAGTTGCAATTTATGCTTGATGGATTCTCCCATATGAGTGTGAAGTGAAGCCGCTTCTATGAGAACTTAGGCAAACTCTCTAGAGCACTCATGAATCTCCAGGTGGGGTGCATGGCCTATTAGCACCAACCTGCGTTGAACAACCTAACTAGTAAGGGTACTATGTGGGAGGTCAGTTTGTTGGTTTACAACCAGGATTTATTGTTCATAGAAAATGTAATTATCACCCTAGTTCAGTGAATCACAACTTACACAACCTAGGTCTAGTTCATTGCCCAAAAGGCACCATATGCATTGTACTCTCTTTGATTAGCCCAAATCTTCTCTATTGTCTTTTGAAATATGTGGGCGATTATTGTATTTCTTGAATTAGTGATAGTATTTCAGAAGCCAAAAAGCTTATTGTTTTGTACCCATTTGAGTTCGTCACTTTTGAAGCTATCTTTCTCTTTTGCTTCAATGCCACATTGATTAGAAAACAAAAGGTTTTTCACTTTATATACTATTGCACTACATGGGATAGGATATAATGGTACTCTCGCACGCATGAACCCTTGTGGAGGCTCAAGGAATTTGGATAAATCATTCTAGAAACCAATTTAGCGGGCGCGTTGTGGACGACTAGTGCACAGAAGGGGTTGCAAAACCCTGGATGTGGGTTCTCGCGAGTGCATATGATCGAACTCAAGTTTTTCTTCTGACCATTTATTTTTATCACATATTTTTCTGCTATCAAAAATTCAATCCCATATTTATTACTTTGATTAATGGACGAATTTATTTTTTACATGTGTTAATTGTGTTGACCAATTAACTTGTCGGTACAGCTCAATTAACTCTGCTAATTTTATTCTACTTTCCTTTTCTGAAGGAATTCTCTCCCTATAAATTAAAATCATTCCTAAGCAAAAAACTAACCTCTGAACAAACATTCTCTCTTCTTCTCTATCTTTATTCGCTTTCTTTATTTTGTTCTCCAAAATTTTTTTGGGAAATCTAAGTCAATGTTGCTCTTAAGCTCACATTACGAGTACACGTTTGTAAGAAACCATTGTTGTATCTGTTGTATCTTGGAGGGTAGGCATTGTTGATCTACTGTACCGAGACTAGTTCTTTGAGTGGCAAAATTTATCCTGAAGGGCAGTGTTCTCTCACGCCTCAATTGATAAGTCATTTGTCTCTTTCTCATATTTACTACTTACTTTTTTTTCTCTTTCTCCTATTTACTGCTTAATGATTTTAAAGAACAACAAAATAATTCTCATTATTTTTTAAGGCAAAATGAAAACACTAAAAACAACCTATCTCCAAATTAATGATATCTCCCGTTCGAGTTTTGTTGGAAACAAAAAAAATAGAGGTTATTCAACTTATCCACCGCTCTCACCGAGCTCTCTCTCTCTCTCTCTCACACAACTACTGAATTCAGCTTCAGATTTGTGTGCGTCTGTGTTTGTGTGTGCGCGCGCGTCGGTGTAGAATTTTACAATTGTTTTGTTCTTTAAAACTATTTTCAAAAACATATAACTAAACAGGTTTTGCAATATAAAATTTTTCCAAAACTCTTCTCAAAAATTATTTTCGAATACTATTTTTTAAGATGCAAACCAAACAAGTCCTAAATCTCTACAAGTTTGGGTTGTTTCCCCAAGCAAGAGCTTCCACATAACAAACAATAAAGCTCACCTACTTATCAGACAAATAAAGAATTTCTAAGCAGTACACGAAGTTCACGTATTTGGGGGGAGAAGTTCTGATCGAAGCAACACATTAAGACCATGTTATACATTTAAAACATTACAACTACAACAATACTTCCTATGCACAGGCTACAACAACACTCCTGACAGTAGATACATGAAATACCATGCACTGAACAATCAGGAAAGTCCACTGAAAAATCAAGAGCTTTAGAAAAGCTGTCTAAAGGCAGTAATCAAGCTATTCAAAGCAATTTTCTGAGCTCAATGCACATGAAAGCCTATCATATAGAGTACATGAAGGGGAAGAGTACACAATAGAACTACCAACTCCATCACAAACAACACTTCAGAATATTGTTTTTTTCTTCCCCATAGGGTTGTGCTTCAGTTGAGATTTCAGTCGGCAGTCCAACTCTGCTCCACTATTTCATGCACTCTTCTGTTGTACTCCCGCTTATTCTCACTGAACATGCGAGCTGCTTCAGAATTCGCTGGGGAGTTCGGGTTTGGATCACAAAGCAGAGACTGCAACATACATAAGAAATATGCCTCATTAGCATTCATGATGAAAGAAAAGGTAAATGGCATGCTGGACTAAAAAGACTTCATTGTTAAAGAAGCTAATTATATTAATGAGTCATGGGGAGTCCATCCAAAAGCACTCATTTAGACAACGGGACCTAACGTGATTCAAAGCTTTAGGTCTTATATCGGGACCCAACCATGTATATTAGTCCTAGTTCACACTCTCATACAAATGTGGGAAACTCAAGCATAACCTTACCACATCTTCCCACTACCAAAACGCACCTTGATATTTTTCATTGTATCACCCAAACTTCTCTTAACCTAATGGACAACACTAATGATAGAATCTTGTGCTGACTGACCACCAAACTTATGGTCCGTATTCACTCTTTTGATGATGGCATAAATAACTCTTTTAAGAACAAAGGGTTGACAAAATGCAGTGGGAGCCATATTTATACAATTCCCTGTGAATTCTACCCTACAATTCAATCCTTTACAGACCAATGCACCTGTCAAATATTGATATACCAGAAGCAGTTGCCAAAAAAGCCACATTGTTCAGCAAAGGAGCCCACCACTAAGATTGTTTCCATCACGTAATCCCCAATCCTATAGTTTAGCTAAGATGTATTAAAACTCGGTGCTGGAAAAAGAGTTAAGGGGAAAAAACATCTCCACGACACCAAAGTAAGTGAATTGATGTTAAACTGAACTGAAGCATGCTTAATTTCAACCCACTAATAATCCAGATACTAGATATTTCTTTTCTTACAGAAGGCTATGTAAACTTCAAATAACTGTCATAAAAACCCTGCATCCCATGAGACTTTGAACCAATATCATTAACATTTCTTTTTAACTTTTGCCAACTCTTTTTTACTAGTTTGGATTGATTTCTAATGGGTGGCCACTTCTCTTTGAGATCTCCTACCAGTCCCAGTGGTTATTGCTAGTGAAACGGTAAAAGTGTGGGACTAACAATCATGGGAATCTGAATTTAAACATGCGGGTAGCCACTATGTGTAAATAATTTAGAAGGTTAGGGCTGGACCCAATCTACGCCCTATCAACCGCGATAACAGGGTCCAAGCTGGATAATGACCATTTCATATCCCTCATGTCTATCCCAATATTCTGCACTAATTCTAGATACGAACTATGAAAACTAAGTTGTTGATATCTAAAACTTCCATTAAGCTCTTCATTAGTTATTAGCTTTGGTACAATCATTTATAAAAGGATGTGCAGATATTGAAAGCAATCATTCATGATGAAAATGCTTATTATTTAATAGAGAACCGAATTTGATTTAGAGGTGGAAATAATGTAGAATTTCAATGCGACTCAACCCTCCTAAAAACTTTTCCCTAGTGGAGTTGCCAATCCATGTTGATGTGGACTGAGAACAAGGAATTGGGAGAGAACAGAAGATTAAGAAGGAAGAAAAGACTTGGAAGAACTAATAAGAATTAGGAAGAAGCAACAATACCCAAAATATCCACAATTAAAACCTGACTAAAAACAATTACATAGGTTTCTTTATCACGTGTAGGTAAAAGTTCATGAATGCCCCCAATCATTACAAGCGATTTGTCATTCCTGAGAGCACCAAAAAGGTGCCATACGAGAGGGACACAAAGATGATAAATACAGGTTCATTCACAATCGAGAAAGAAGACCACACCATTGGAAACAAAGTTCGCATGCAACTGCACAGGGACGAGAATGTCCTCTTCACTGGTTACAAGTTGCCTCACCTCTTCAATACAAAATCATAGTAGCCAATCTTTGCCTATGCAGGCATATGATCAAGCCACTAATGATCTGGACAAGGAACTTGATTATCTCACGAATGCATTTGAGGATCTACAATGGCTGTAGTTGCTGCACAAACAAAAAGCAATTGCAGATCAAATATCGAACTGGTCCAGCAATATTGCAAAGGAAGGCAATCTGAAGTGTTCAACATGAGATGAACATGTTATATAACAGAGATAAAGAACTCGTATTTGGTAGCTGCGAAGACAGGAGAGAGGTTTGCAGTACCTTCATCCATTTATGTGGATAAGAATGGGGAGTTCAATGTGGATGCTGAATCTTGCATGCTTAGGTGTGAGGATTGGCGTCGAAGTTGGTTGGAAGATTTGGTGTTCTCAATTCACAGCCACCAAAGATTGAGAAAGTAAGCAGATAGGCAAATCTAAAATGGGGGTCAGTTGGTCTGAAAGTCATTCCAATGGCCAACTCACTATTCATGTTTTTTTCCAAATCGGTAAAGGAAGAAATATGGATTTTGAATTTACAAGATTGGAATTTAAAAGGAATTCCATTGTAGCTTGACAAATGGGTGCATTGAGCTGGTTGTTTATGTAGGAGTGTGGAGCTGGAGAATACATGGATTCAATTGATTGGCATTCCATCACATCTTTGGTGTAATGAGTTTTTCATTGCCATTGGAAATTATGTTGGAGTATTTGTGAGAATTGATTCCACCATAGTCCTCGACAAAAAATCCTGATTCTTCTTTGCATCGGTTTCAACTCGGTAAAACTCGATCAATCACCGATTCGAACCAAGTCATTCACCCAACACTTGCAGACCAGAGAACAGCCAAAACAAAAAGAAAAAGAAATGATAGAAGATTACAGCATGGAACATGCCAAAAATAGAAAATCAGATGACCCACAAGAAAATAAAGCAGATTAACCTTTTAGAAATCAGAACCCACATGCACTTTGTACTTTTGTGCAGATTTGAACCCTAAATCAAACCCTTTTTCCCATTTTCCCCCTTTTCCTTATTATATAAACAGATCAGGTATTTGGAAAATTAAAAAACGCATACGACTTACCAGTCAAGAATTGCAATCCAGAGTCCATAGAAAGCCCCTTCTTGGCATCAAAAACTAGCATCGTCTCGTCGAGACCCCAGTCATTTACAGCAAGCAACAAAACTGAAGCACCATCTCATCATCTCCATCTCGCACTCTCAGTGACCAGCCAAACCCTCTCTCTCTCTCTCTCTCTCTCGCGACTGAACATATATCACGAATAGAGGCTTTGTATTTAAGTTTTTTTTAATTATTTTTCCCTCTTTTTTTGGTTGCCAAGGACCCAACTCTCTCTTTCTCTCTCTCTAACGCAAGTCTCAAACCGAGACCCATGTATTAGTTTTAAATTTTTTTTTTTTTTTTGGTTCCCAAAGATCCAAGATCCACTATGTCAATTTTTGGTCCAATTCTAATTATATAATTCAATTAGAACCTAACTAGTAACAATTAACTTAACTTTCAAAAATTACAAATCAAATGCTTAAATTGAACACTAATAATGATAATTATTTTCGATAATGCCCTTATGTTTCATTTTAATTATATTTAATGTGTTTTTGAATGTATTATGGATACATGATGCATTCTTCAAATTTTTTTGGAACTTCTATCTAGCATTTTGAGCGTATCGACCAATACTGTTTCGCAATCGATGTGTAACAATGTCCTCTAAGTTGATAACTGATACTACGACTTTGAACCAGTCCCAGTCCTCAATATTGATATGAAGTGTGCGAGAATTTTGATTAGAGCGGCAATAAATTATATTCCATCAATGAGTGTTTTGAATGATATTTTTGTATTTCTAATATGGCGAGTGATGAAGCATTTCATGAAGCCAATCATCAATTTTGAGTAGTCGGAAAATCCACTTGTTCTTATAGTTAACAAAATTCAGTTTTTAGTAGATTGAGAACTCAAAGTGGTAAGCCAGGGAGGATGAGAACCAAAGAAGATCAACCATGGAGATGGGAGGAAAGTAGATTTCAGAATAGGAATGAAATGTCGAGAGATTCTGGTTATAGAAGGAAAGACTTGGGTAGGAAAGTTAGAAGATTTACAAAATTAAAAGATAGTCAAATTTTCAAAATTTTAAAGTCTGATTTTAAAGTTACAGAGCAGAGCGAGCCAGAGTTTAAAAATGACACGGATACGGACACAGGTGTTATATCCAATACAATGTTACCACAAGGATACGACAAAGTTTTAAAATATATGATACAAGTACGACAAGGATACAATTAATTAAAATAATATTATATATTTTTTATATAAATAAAAACATTAATAACAAGACCTAAGAAACATTGAGCAGTTGGTTATATTTTACAATTGGGCATTGTGTTAATATCAAATTAGGCAATGGGCTAATATGTTACAATTGGACGGGCTAATACCAAATTGAATAGTGGGTTAATATATTTGACAATTAATAAATAAATTATACCAAAAAAGAAGAAAAATGATTTTTTTTAAAAACTGAAATTTAATGTCAGAGACAGAGAGAACATGAAAATAAAAATGTGGCTGATTAGAAAATAAAAAATAAAAGAGTAAGACTGAATTGGGGCAAGCTGGCTACTCAACCTCACCCACATCGCCATGGCATCGATCGAAGCACACTGGAGAATTAAGAAGTAGTATAAGAACGAGAGAAAAAGAAGGAAAGAAGCGGAGGAAAAGTTCAAAGAAGAAAAATTTGTCAATACAAGTCTCAAATCTGTGGCTGACATTCGAAGAAGAGATCGAAGAAGGTCATGTACCTTATACCTCCCATATCCGATTAATTTTTTATTTTTTATTTTTTATCAAGACACGTGTCCGACACCGCCACATCAACCCTCCGGCGAGTATCCGTGCTTCCTAGATCTTTAGTAAAGAAGATGGGTCCACATATGTTAAATGTAGCATCTGCTAGTTCGGATTCAAAAGGGCCTAAGGCATCATATGGGCTTCAAATTAGTAATGGGTTGCATAAATTACCCATTAAATCTAGGTTCCAAATTATTCGACAGGAGATCCATTCAAGTCAAGCTCCAAATAAGGGTTCAGCTTTCAGATATGGGTTAACAAAAATGACCTAATTTTCTTCCGGCCCTAAATCACGCACTCCAAGCGATTGAAGAGAGGCAACCAGTGCGTCCAACTTCGACGAAAGCTCTTCCGTGCCTCTCTGATGTGATCAATCTATCAGTCACCATAACACTTTGATGACAGAGGACCCTCAACAACCTAAGGTCTCGATGAAGAACGTTTGCAAGCATCCCAGTGACGAGCAATGGAGGGAGATGCATGCTTCATTGCTATTAGAAAAGGCGCTTAATCTGCATTTCCTCCTACCTGTCTGTCCTATATTAATAAAATATCTCTTTATTTCTGGAAATGTCTTGGATATGGATATCCAAAACAAATATCCTTCGGATAAGGAAGTAGATTCGCAAAGCAATATGTGTAAACTTTAAATTTTAACCTTTACTGTTTCCTCTCTTATTCAAATACAATGATACCCAAAAAAAAAATCATATGGCTTGGACATTAGGTTGGTGTGTTTTAAGTATTATATACTATCATATTTCAAAGGACATAAAATAGGTTCATTACACCGCATTTCTTAGCAACAATTACTTCTAAGCAACTCAACTACTTAAATGTTAGTTCTAGTTCCTTTAATCAGTAAACTTCACTTTGTCCGTATACTATGATTAGATGATCCATGTTTAATTGAAAGTACAAATTTCTTATTTTTGAATTGCTATTCAAGAACATATTGCAAATTAAAACAAATAATTAGATCATAGTAAAAATGAAAACTCTATTTTATCAAGTTTTACTTATCGCGGTATCCATATCATATTGTACCAGTATTGCATATCCATACCTATGCTTAGCTCAATAGCTTGGTAGCAACACACCAACTTTGTTCACTCCAATGCAACCCACAAACTCTATTTCTTAAAAAAAAAATGCATATTTATCGTTGGTCGTATACATCTTGCTAAGATTGTATCAATTGGGATATTCTAGTCATTCTCTTGTAGTAGAGTTTTATACATAAGTGATAGGAATCGAATTGTTTTTCGTAATAGTAGGCATAGACGTAGGGATTAGAAGTTAATTGTCATTTTACTTTTTGGAACTTATTTGTCATTTTGACTATTTATTTGTTTTAGGGTTTGTATTCCCTATATATATGGGGGATGTGGTATTTGTTTAGGAAGACTACGATTACTATTGAATATTGATATTATGTTCCCCAAGTTCTCTTCTCATTCTTCTGATTTTCTCATCCCCTTGTTCTTCTCTTCTCATCTCATAATTCTTCCCCTTTGGCTACATCAAATTGCTATCAAAGCAAAAATTTGATCCATATGAAACATCCAACCAAATCCACCATTGTCAT